TTTACCCGTGAAGCTCCCTCTAATAATGGTATTTCATTTCAAAGGGATGGTATGGAAAAAATGTCTCATGATCTGAATAAGAAGTACTTTGTACAGTGAGGCTTCTGTGCAAAAGTATTTGACCAAAACATTACCCCAATCACTTACCTCTCTAATCTGATTGGTAATGAGTTTTGATAAATAAATCTTGTAGCTTCCACCGATAGTTTCCTATTATTAAGAAGTGGAGTAGATGCGCTTAATTATGATCTCCACGAGATGATAAAGAAATCAAATCTGTGAAATAAACCAACTATAAAATTTACATGAATCAGAATTCTAGGCAAACAAAAGATTCCTTTCTTACTCTAGACAATATCGATACTGGGCAAGTCCATTTGATACAAAAAACAGAAATGTGCACTTTTTTTAATTACATCCACGAAAATAATAAAATCATACTCAAGTTCACCTAAAAGGTTCTCAAAGTAAAACCATGTCTAGTAAGCCTTGTGCTGCGTATGTGCAGTTCATCAAGAATTTAACGAAGCTCTCAAAAAGACAACTAAAATGAGAAAGTTATGAATCCTTGGGAACGTAAGGGAGGGAGGCGAAGAAGGAAGGGAACTTACCAACATTTTAAACATTCCGGCAGTTCCATATTCTGGGTTGAGCAAAACGGCAGAACTATAAGCCCTCATGACAGTGGTGAAATAAGATAACATGACAACATATTAGCAAATCTACAGATTCAAAGTAATGTCAAAAAAGAAAAAGATAAGCAGATGAACCTTGTATAACTGTCAACAAACCTTTCAGGACATTTTCTTGCTTTCGACAGGAAGGACCGCTGGATAAATATGACCCTTTGACATTGACCCTCTGGTTGCAAAGAATTTTATCCGATGTCAAAATTTAACCTACAACTTGCTAGTAAATCAATATGAATGGAGAACAAGAGCGGCATAAAAGAATAACTCCAATTCAAGAGTACCACAAGGAAAACGGCAGATCATCTTTGTGGATGCATATGAGCAAGACTAACACTTACGGCCTACCACAACATGTATTTCTCCAGGCAAATAGGATAATGACAAGCCAAACAAAAGCACATGCGACTAATTAGTACATATAACTGAACGATGATGTTTTAATGTGAGAAGAACAGGCTGGCAACCGGTATTACGAAGTGATGTCAAAATCAACAGAGAGAACACAATACCTTGACATGTTGGGATTTTACTACTGTTTTCAGCTAAAGCTAGTGGGATAGCATCCAAAGCATCAGCAAGCGCCCTGATTGCATACTGAAAGTATAAAGAAGCACAATTAGAAGAAAACATATATGACTTTCTTTTGTAGTACCAGTTCCAAGACCACAATTACCTGCTCAACTTCAGGATGCCGATCCGCTGCGGCTTCAACAACAATTGAGCAAGATATTCTGAGCCACCACCATACACAATTGAGTTGTTGATGATCAGATTCCTTGCAACGCACAGAGCATCATGAATACTTCGCTTGGTCTCCCGACTCTCCCCATCATCATTTTGTTGCCTGTGCAATATATATGAACACCAATCAGAAGATACCAGTATCCATCAGTTTAGATATGACTGAAATGTATACTAAGACTGGAAGAAACAGTCAAGCTTGGTGTTTCTCAGATATTTTGAGGACTTCAAATCTTACAATCCTAAAAGTAACAGCACATAACTGAATAGTACAGATGACTTTGATGTTATGATATTACTGTAAATATATTCAACCAAAAAAATGCCCAATATCATGAACAACAGAGGTGCGCTTGAAGTAACACACCATCCTAAAGATCCATCATAAAAGCTTACCTCTTAAAACAAAGAAGAGGCATAAATATCAATATCTAACCTGAGTAGTCTTTCCCCTCAGATATTTACACAAACAACTACTGTACACATCTACAACCTCTCAATATGGGACAAAAAAATGTTGCAAATCAGGGGCGCGGTACGGAAGAGATGTTGCTCAAGACTGCTATACCTAGGGATGCTGGGTGGTGCGCTGGTGCCGAGCATATCCACCCCAATCCGCTCCAGGGACAACTCAATCTGCGAATCCATGGTGGCTTTTGCTAACTGAATTTTCATTGCTTGCTGCTCCAAGCCCGTGCAACCCCATATCTTCATGGTTTGCTGCTCCAAACTTGAGTAATCCCCAAATCCTCGGCAGAGATGGAACGTTGTCCCTTGGCTCGCGGTGTCGCCTATCGCCGGCCTTCTGCCTCTTTCCACCATCCCACAGCCACGGGCTTCTTGTCGCCACCACTGTCATCCTCACCCACCCCTGCTCCTCCATAGACACACCAGAGATGCCCGCCACTGCTCACCCCGACGACCCGACCGCTGCCTC